ACGTTGCACCACCTATATCCTCTTCCCTATATCCGTCCCTCCCCCCCCTCTCTCTCTCACTCTCTCTCTCTCACTCTCTCTCTCTCTCTCCTCTCGCTGTTCCACCTTCCCGCACCGTTCCAGCTTCGTCCATCCGCGCATCGCTATCCTCTTCCTCCTTCCGCACGTATGCATGTATTTCTCTTCTTGTTTTCTTTCCTTCTTTTTCTTTTTTTTTTTTATTTTGAAAGCGGGATATACGTGGTCGGAACAGGAAACGCCATGGGAGAATGAGCAATCGGTATTCCGCGGCTGTGTCACACACAGCGGGCCGCAATATTGTAGAGAACGCGCGCACGCTATAACGAGACGTACTATAGCTCTGGCTACAGTTATGCCGGCAGTAGGAACACGGTTCAATCACGGGGGGGGAATGCGCTTCGAATTTGCTCGCCTCTTTCTCCTGCCCCACGCCGTGCAAATCGGCCGTGCGTAGGGCAATCTCGCACGTACGCGCACGGATTGTCATCCTTTCTTGCGACCCGGAAAAACAGTCGCGTACACGCCGTTCGCGATGGTTTTCGCGCGCGAATCCACGATCGGAGTCTGTTCTTGTTCGAAACTCATAATGCTCGCGGCTAATCATTCTTTTTTCGTTCTTTTTCTATAGTTAATTGTTTTATTTAATCTCTCTTCCAGTAATTGTCACTGCAGAAATGGTAGATCTGAAGCTGAGAGATCGTCCTCCATCAAATGTAATGTCAACGTTTCACAAATTAATCAGAGATTACGATTCTGTAAGTCGAGTTATTGGAATGATGGTTCTATTAGAAATGTTCAAAATATTAAAATAAGAATATTTTCCATCTGTTTCTAAAAAAAGGAGATATAAATATCAATTGACGTTTGATCGAACGTACGTGAATTTTTGTAGAATATTTCTATCTACTTCCAAAAAAACGTAGATGTAAAATAAAATTGATGCCCAGCTTTAATTGATACATGGAAAAGATATCTACATGGAAATGTACGTGATATGAATAATTATATATAGCTCTAATTAATGGGTGTACCTCTCTGATTTAACGCGATACGTTCGGCGAAGGTGAGGCTTTATAGATCACGAATACGTTCGTTCTTTTAAGGCAATCGCTGATTGTGAGCTGTTCAATACAAATGCTACTACGACGTGAAAAAATGTCACCGTTCCAACCGGACGCGCATAAACATAAACGCAGTTGCCGGGCACGATATCGATTACGAAGGAGCGAATCGATATCGGACATGGATATGAATAACGGACATAAAATTACGAAGTACGAGTACTGTACATACGGTATTTATCGCTAAAAGAGTTACATTGGCTTGTAACTCTTTGTGATAAATTTAATGGATCACCGCAAATTTTGTATACTTCTGTGTTTTGCATTTTTTTTTTCTCATTTTTTATCATTAAACATTTTGACGGCGTTAAACAAGGCGACAGGGTCTTGTCGGAAAAAGTATCACAAAATATTTTCCGGGGATATCGATTGCGCGGTTAAAAAAAATAAAAAAAAAAAGAGAAAAAAAGACTTTGGGGAAAAGCGCGCGAGGATTGCATTTGGGTCGTTGCAATGTATACTAATGCAAAAAAAACCGGCTTCCGCAAATGGAATTCTGTACGCATGCCAAAAAATGCGTCAGCCGCAATAACTACGGGCTTTTAGGACGTGTCTCGCATGAGATGCATCTTGCTTTAAAGCAGGGAAACTAGGGCACTCGGGACAGGAGCGGTGGGGAGGGAGGAAGGAGGGAGGGAGGGAGGGAGGGATCCTCCCGATCGCGATCTCGTCTCTTTCCAAAGAAGAACGATAGTAGAACTCTTTACGTAGGATTGCGGGCTACGAGTTTACGAGAGACCGGTGGTGACCATTTCACGAGTTTATTTTCGGACCATTCAGGCCTCTCCGTCATTTGAAAGTACCCCCGTGTCGATAGGGCGCATTCATTCGCGCCTGAGCGATATGACGCACCTGGGTGCAAGCTCGTGAATAAATTCGACGGTGTTCCGCTCGCTTTAGAACGGATCCGTCAACACGTGTTTCATTATTACACCTCATACCAAAAGTTAAACTTCCCTCATACCATTAATAATCCACGGTGTTAATTATTGTCTACCTTCACTCCCGAACGCATCATCCGCTCCGACGCGTGCTGCGTCGTAAAGTATTAACTGTCTGAGCCGAGGACAAACCTCCGACGGTGCGCGTTCGGTTTATTAAGTTAGAGAATTAAAAGCGGACAATGCGGGCAGTTATGGGAGAGGGCGAAACAACGGGAACCAGTCATGCGGCGGAGCCTGCGAAAGATTTACATTTCGAGAGAGCCCGCGTTCGAGGGAAGCACGAAGGAGAAGAATTAAGTGAAAGAAGGAGAACAGGAAGATGAATAACAAAACGAATAAGAAGACGAACTCTTATCGCCCTTAGCAAAATGACTCCTAAAGCATTGAGCGCGCGAGATAATACACTCTTCTCGCACAAAGAGGATGCATTAATCGTAGGACTAAAAAAAAAAGAGAAAAAGAAAAAAAAAGAAGTCGGTAGGTGGAGCGAAACTTCTTCGTTCGTTGTGCGAAAATTAGAGAAGCTTGTATACGAGTACGAGCACCAGCTACTCGTGCCGAGCCGTCGCACTTGAAAGAAATCTCTCTCTCTCTCTCTCTCTTTCTCTCTCTCTCTCTCTCCTCTCCGCCTTACGCCGCCGTGTATCCATTTCGTGTCACGTTAGAATGCACGAAGGAGAGAAGAGAGAAAGAGGAGAGGAGAGAAAGTGAGGGGCTGCAGGTGAAAAGAGACAAAGAGAAGAGGGAGGGAGGAAGAGAGGGAGCGAAATTCAGCAAAGGTAGAAAAGAAGAGAGGAAGAAGGAGGATTAGCGGGGCAGAGAGCTCTGCCGAGCTGCATACCGAGGAGCTGGAAAACGCATTGTTTAGGCTGCACTCACACCGGTTCAGGTGGGTGTGTCGCGAGCGTGAAATACCGGCGAAGTGACTCCGTCGAGTGAGCCTGGCAGCCTGCACTTCCAAGTGCTCGAGTCGCGCCGCAGATTCCAGCGGACCATCTCTATATCTGCGGGAGAGAGAGAGAGAGAGAGAGAGAGGAGCATATTTGATCTACCGACCGACCGGAGATGCGACTCTCTCCGTGGAATCGATTCCACTACGATCGCACTCTTCTAAGGCGCATTTCAGATTAGCCCACTTATACTACTCCGTAGTAGATCGCAGATCGCAGATAATCGCTCGCATTTTTACATCGAGTTGAACGTACCTCTCCGCAATATATACCTCGGAACTGAATGTTATTAGGTTATTACGAGCGACGTGTAAAATGAATTCGCTTTGAAAAATCCTCTTCTAATGTAGAAATGTAGGACACTAACTTCATTTCGGAGTGAGTTTGAAAAATTGTTTTTTTTTAAATTGGAGCCAAGTGAGATTTCGAGAAACGTTTTTATAGTTGTAATAGAATTGCATTTAAAAAATTCAATCGTGTAGGTAACGTGAGATTTTAACGTACATATTTCAAGTAATAACTTTATGTAACAGTGTTTAATAAAGTCGCTATGCTAATGCGACAACTGACAAGAAAAAGCGGCATTGGATGCACCGCCGAGAAATATCGCATTGCAAAATAAAAACGATCCGCTGCTAAAACTGTGTCACATTCTTTTTTTTTTTCCCTCGCTTTTATTCTGAACTCGTAACTTTTCTGAGACTCATAACCGGTTTTAATTAAGGAATATAATGAAAAAAATGAGTTCTAGACTTCCCACTGTCCTACTATGAGCTATCTCGCTCCATCTCCACGTATATATCTTGTCAGTCTTGTTCTTATTCTTTTTGGTGTTCTCAAATAAAATTGCACCTTGCTTCTTCTTTTCCACAAACGTTTATTGCTATCGTTTATAAAACTGTGTATGTGGATGTATATAAATGTACGAACGTTAGCAGTGTTACGGAGTTTGTTATGGAGTTTGTTAAATCCAAATACGTGTGCGGATCTCAGTCATCCCTCTGGGAATTTTAAAAGATCGCACTCCAAGTACGTTGATGGCGACATCCAACGGACATCGGTTGAATTTATGCCTCGCTATCGCGGTAAAGCAGAGAGAACGCGGGGATCTACGAGTAATTCAATATAGATCCAAGTAATTCATTGAATCACTCTCTTAAACGATCATCTCTCGAAGAGAGACGTACACATTAGACTAGATAACATCGAAATGACAAAACCCGATTGGAAAAGCGATTATCCGAAATAAAATATTAACAAGTGTGACTCGCTCGCACTAAATTATGTCTCATTTCCAAATCGTGATCAATTACGCGGTCAAATAAGCAACGATAATATTAACGAGCGGTTTCGAGAGAACGGCCGATAAAAACTTTTATCTCAGGCTATAAAGACGAAGGGGATGGTCATCGTTTAGTGAGTTAAGCGACGAATAACGGCGCATACGAACGCTACATGATGACCCGTGATGGAACGTAAAGGACGGTGGCTACAACGACGAGAAGTCGATCTAACCTGGAGGACACCGGGGGCATAAAAGTTCGTCCCCGATCGGCGCTTACAGTCCAATGTACTTACCTGCAAATTGGTTCGTCTCGCTCGTCCGGTGGATTCAGGAAATTGCCGTCGTTCACCGCCGAAGACGTCGATCCCCGCGGCGACCTCGGGCCGCCCTCCGGTTCGCCAATCAGCACTTCCGTCCGACCATTTTGGAAAGGGCTGCTCGACCGTCGTTCCCCGATTCTTCCGCTCTGCACCGGTTGCTGTACCGGGCAAACGGACGCAAGTTTGTCTTCGTGAATCGACACACGGAACCATCCATATAGTTTATCACATCTTTTATCTACAGGCTCTTCGATCAGTTAGCGGATTTCATCCTGAGCTCGCTCGGACGTTTAGTTAACTTTAGCTGTTGCTTTGCAGCTGATAAAAATTTTGCTATATTTCCAAAACTTAAATTCATGTTGTCGCAACATGATCTTCGAGAGAAAGAATCAATTTTTTTTTTTATTGTTCTAGATTATATAAAAATTTGATAAAATCCTGATAACTCCCGAAGACAAACAAGAAAGTCAAATTAATGTGTCAATTTGATATATCGTATTGACTGAACTTATGTCATTTTTTTTTTAACACGATTCAGTCGATATGACGTTATTTTCACTTTCTCGTTCTTCTTGCGACTGAAAATTTAATCGCAGCTTTTTATCATCATTCGGATAAAAAATTTGGATTGTAATTTACTTATTTTTTTATAGATTTAAATTTATCTAAATCATACAATCAAAATATCGATGGTAATCAGAAAAATTTCAGTTGTATTGTAGATGAAGAATTAATTTGAAGCAAAATGCACAATTTGATAATCCGATCGATCTATGCATACCCGATTGATTCAATACATCAATCTCCATAACTGATTATTGATGTGTTAAAACGTAAAATTAACGTTAAATTGTTTAACAAAAAGAGTCGTAATTCTCATTTAGCATAAACGTATATGAGAAAATATTTATAAAGAAAAGTACCGTGGTTGTTGTCTGGTTAATTCAGAGAAACGTTTTACGGAACAATAAACAACAATAGCCTCGTGAAGACTCCCACTTAACGTGCCTAATGTTGGCAATTAAGCGTGATAAACTACCGATGGTGATTTACTATTCCGGAAACTGTTTAATAATTACTTAAGAAATCCAACGGATGTTGCTTATGCAAGCGACAAGCGATTAGTGTCGACATAACGTAATGTTGGGAAAAACATGTGAGGGAAAAATCTACAGTTTTAATATAATTAAATATTTGCTAATTAATATATGATGTATATATTATGTACCTATATATTATGTATACTCTCCCAATTGTTTATGTTTCAAAATTCATTGTGAAAATTTAATCATGTTACATTTAATGTTACATTTTAATGTTACACGCCGGATACTGCGGATATTTAAAGATTAATATCTCTTTAATAATTATCCTCTGATTAAAAACTAAATTTGTTTACACGTATATTAAAGTCTTTTGAAGAATAAATTACCGAAACACTGTTTTCCCCCTTGTATTTCTACACTTCTAAAGTAAACTGTAAGTTTACGTTACCAAGAGGTTCGCCTCTTCGCAGCTGTGTTGCTTTTCCAAAGCGTCCTTCCGCTCCTGCGAGGTGTTTTCCACTCGGATGTCCGCCTCTTTTCCTAATCCCTTGGGAATCGTACCGTTGCTAAGTTTGGTGGAGAAAGAATTCGTCTCCAATTCCCTGAAACAATTAAGACGAGGATGGATTAATTAATTGGTGACAATTAAATTAATCAACCAGTCGCCAACACGTAATAACTATAAAGTAGAAAATTCATCCGACTTTCTCTATTGTACGAAATAAAAATGGGCCGCGCGAACGTATCGGCATTGTGAAAGGATATCAATCGCGACAATCGCAATTTGTCGCATCCGGTCGGTTACGATGCCTCCTATAGGCGCCGCATATATTTTCTCGCTTGCTACACAGAAGTTGGTTTTATTATGCTTCGACAGAAACATCCCAGGGGATATTAAGTCTTCGGAAATTAATTACAAGTATTGCGCCTGTGGAGCGACATCGTTCTACTACATCCACGACACAAATTGTTTTTAATCGATCCCGAGGCATCTGTGACCCCGAGAATTCTGACATTAAGTGTAAATTTCAGAGTGACATTTTTTTTTATTAGAAGTCCCACTAAGTTTTCTTCTCATTATTAAGGAATAATGAGACAGAGAGAGAAAGGGAGAGAGAGAGAGAGAGAGTTCCCCCCCCCGCCCCATCTCTCTGTCTCGTCTATAACAAAGTTTAGTATCGACATAAAAAGAAGAAAGGTGACTTACTTGTCCGCCAAAGTAACCGTAATTTGGCCATTCGATACGTCTTTTGAAGTGGAGTCTTCGCTCGTGGACGCTACTGAATTTATTGTCTGAAACACAATAACGAAAAGTGATCCGTAATATATCTATGTGATTCTCACTGAATTTTTATTCTCGATGAAATTGATCTAGAAATTAACTAACATCACACAATAACGCCTTTATTCCGGTAATACCACAGCAAATGCTGCACGCCAATTTTTTGCAAAACGGCTACGACAAACAATAAATTCTAGCGTAATTGCAATTTTTTTATTTGGTTACCGATGATTGAAAATTTGATCGTGTAAAGAGTTGTCACAATCACGCTATGATAGTACGACGTAGCATTCAATTTAGTTTTATAAAAAAATGGCTGATCGCGTACAGTTTCGCTTTATTTTTATCGCACGTGCTTCCGCACATTTCTGGGCAAAATACGATCCTCGTGTTTATCTCCAACGCGTGACGTGTAAATTCGCAACTCGCTTATGTCGCTTTACATTAATTCTGAAGAACTTCATTCTCTAATAAACTAATTCGTATAAAATGTAACAACAATAATTTCGTCAACGTTATACAATACGTTATTGTGTAAAATCCGAAATCAGTCGTTCATATTTTGTGAATCGCTGACGACTTGATATCATTCTGAAAAAGAATGCTAACAATTTGTCTCTCTTTGAATTTGAAAAAGAATAATATGTAAATAATCTTCCGTAGAGTTTATCTTTTTTTTTTTTCATTCAAGTAAATATTATATAAATTACACATCACATATTCTTATATCACTAAAAATCATTTTGAAGCGGTGTTATACATTGTCTGGATAGAGATCGCATGTAGATGTACGACATTGCAATCTAGAGAAAATCTCATCAACCTGAAATGTTACAATCTGTCTTAAGCATCCTGTTATCTTACATCTGTATATCTTGATACATTCCAACATTAATGTTGTGGAAAAACTGACGTGGCAAAACGGCCAGACAATATCCCAAATGGCATCCATCACCATCGTCGACAATTAACCGGAGATCCCTTAGCTCATTTTCCACTTATTCGAATTACGCACTGATAGAAAGAGAACTACGGGAGTAATACGCCGCATTGTTGATAGCGATACGGCTAATCGTGCTGGGAGTGATACGAACCGTAATATCAAGAAAACTCGTTAACGGTTGTGTTACGACATTCTCGTACGGTTTCCGTTCCGAGATGTGTTTCGCGCGATATGCGAGAACCTGATGCGTGCCTGCTTACGCGAGATTTTAACCTGCATGCCGTATCGCGATCACGCGAAACGATCCCGCATGCGACCTTAAAATATCTCGGTCGGTTTATAACGCGATTAATAACAACAATGCGCGAGACTTTTCTCAGACGAACCGGTTTCCAAACGATTGTTATTATAATTCGATGAATATCGTCCGAGAGAGAAAGATGGAAA